GCATACTCTACCAGCAGTCTGCTACCCTCCTACTGCCCCACATTCTTCACTCATGGATGCAAATAGAATATGGATCGGTACCTATGCTTTCCTAGTCGGCGGCGCTGACGGGCGCAGGAAACGCTGTTGTTCGCTGGTGGGCACTGCCGCAAAGTATGAACGCGACCTAACGTTATTGTTTGGCAGCTCTTTGGACTGCATCCGGAAGGTTATGTTGGTCAGCGGGCTGAATGGGCCAAAAATGTTCGTTACAATGGAAATTTCCGTGGTGTGTCCTTGAGAAATTGGGTTGTGATTTCGCCAAACACTTCTGAAGCTGATCGTCTGTCGAGCCTCTTCATAGGTAAGCTTTTATCAGTTGAACTGTTTCACTGTTGTTTTTTTCTACGAATAAGTCATGTTGTTCATTACAGAAGAGGTCAAACAAGTCGGACATGTGATGAGAATTGACGTGAATTATCCAATGATACAAATTTGCAAAGATGCATCTCAATCGTCGTACCATGAAGCCGTAAAAATGGCCATTGAAAGGGTAAGTTTCATAGTACACACTTGTAGTACTAAAAATAGCCTAGTTTCCGCGCCCAAGTGCCGACTACGGCTGTGCCGTACCGATGAATTTCTAGGTAATGTTGCTCACCTGAGCTCACTCCACAGTATTGTGAGAGTTCAGTTGTTGATGCGCATCTGATGATCCCTATCATCTGCTGACGAAACAGGCGAGGAACTCTGTACGCGTCATTGACAGCCTGGGGAGAGACGGTCAAGACAATCGTAATTTCCCGCTCCGCCGCGCGCGGCGATGGATGCGACGTTTACTTGATTTGCGTTAGCATGTTGAATGGAGCAAATTTCATGTATACTACGGCGTCGTACATATTTCCATTTTTGATTTTACATTGTAAATTGTTGGAATCCACTACTCAAAACACCGTCCTTTGCGGCGCGACGTCGCACGCGACGCCTTACAGTGAAATATGATATTCTTGTCATATATCCCTCTCGCTATCATCGGCAGTGACAACGGCATCCCAGCTTGTGCCGGTGAGGTGCTTGCGATGGAGATAGAAATTTGACAGCGGAGAAGAGAGAACACGGCTTAAGTCCGCTTTCTAGGGTCAAAGGTAAACTTTGCCCTCTACCTAAGGCTGAGCTCACGGAGGGAAGGTATCACTCGTTGTGCCGCCGCTTGACTCCTTAACTACGGTAATGCCGAGGTGAAGTTTTGTCTGCATACGTCGGGCATGTCAGGGGTGCTGGTTTTTGCGCGGCGCCAGCCAGGTTTTCACCAATTGTGATCGCCCACCACCTTCCACAATTTGGTAGATGAGTTGGCACCGCGCTAAGTCCCAGCCTTCACATGTCCAAGCGTCCGGACATGGCGATCTACCGATGTGGCAACGTAAGATTGCTCACTTCTGCGGTAATGGGTTCCAACCCTAATGTTGGCCGTGATGTGATATTGAAGGAGCGGTCAGCCTGGGCCATTCAGGTAGTTCGCTTCAGCCAGAGCCTGAAATAGTCAAAAAGAAGGGGAGTTTGTGCTCTCTAACGTCACTTCTTAAAGTAGGAAGTACTGTGGAATTCCGGTGACTTTCTAGCGGTATCAACCGGATGAGATGACTTAGCATACCTTTATCTCACTCGCGATGACATGAGATCGATGGGAAACGGTCAACA